TGAGCTGGCCACACACACACACACACACACACATAAATAAATAAAATTTTTAAAAAATAAAATAAAATAGAAGGATTGAGAAGCTTACCTTTAGACGACTGGAGTCCAGCCGCAGAGCTGAGAGTAACGGGTCCAGTGACTCAAACTCTGCAAGCACATGGCTATAGGTCTCTGGGATCACTGGCACAAAAGGCATTTAGCCAGAAAGGAAGTTTTAAGCACAGTGTTCGTCCCCTGAATAAAACCTGCAAAAATTAATTGAAGAAGATCACCATACATTCAGGAAGCATAAAATGAATGGGTGAGGACAGGAGACATGAGAAAAGGACCTCCCTACTCCCAGGGTCAGGTCTGGAATCCCAAGGCCCTCCATAACCCTATTCCACCCTACTCCAGGGCATCCTCTATAAGCCTGAGTAGGTAAAGAGGACTGTAAGATTTCAAAAGAAAACTGGCCCAACTCTTTTGAAGTTAAAGGAACAAACCTTGTTGTATTTCTTTGAGCTGTAAACCTTAGGTCTTTAGGAGTTTCTCATTAAAATGTAACTTTCTGCAAAGGTCTCAAATAATAAACCCTTATCAGCAAAACCTAAAACTATCAGCAAATAATTTAACAGTGTTCAACAACAACAGTCCTCTGCCATCTCTCAGGCCTACCAACAGCACCATGGAGATGCTGAATAACTCCAACAATGTACTAAATGACAAGGCACAGGGAATTGGCACCAAAAAATAACAACTCCAACAAAAGAAACCAGGTGGAAATGAACAGGGGTAAAAATACAATGTAGCATCTGATGCAGGCAAAAACAACAATAACAACAATGCAGGGGAGCTAATGTCAAATACCCAAGGTGTAAAGTAACAGAAGAGTTTCTATCTATTTAACTACTTTCACTAGAATATTATTTGTCAAATGGCACCAATTTCCAGAAAAAAGTAATTTTAAGAAAATTCTACTCATTAATTTTATTTTTCTTAGGGCTGGGGAGATGGCTCAGTGGAATAAGCGCTTCCCTGGCAAGTGCAAGGGCCTGAGTTCAATCCCCGGTTCGAAAAAAAAAAAAAAGAAAGTGATATATTTGGAACTGGGGAGATGGCTCAGTGGAATAAGCACTTCTCTGGCAAGTGCAACAGCCTGAGTTCAATCCCCGGTTCTGAAAAAAAAAAAAAAAAAAAAAAAATATTTTTCTCAATGTTTTGTTACCTATCAAATAAAGTATAAAAAGCAATCAAGTTTCAGAGAATATGATCATAAATATCTAGACTTATTTTTGTTTATACTTTGGGGTTTTTTTGAACTTTTTCAGAAACATGCATTCATTCATTCACTCTTTTATGAGATTCAAAGTATTTTGCAGGTTGGGTCCAAATTACTAATCATTGTTTTCTGTGTTTCAACTAAAGATGAGCATTTTTCCTATGTATTTTACACTTTTCCGTCTCTATATCTACCTTTTGTTGCCTGCTTGCTTTTTCTCTTTTCTTTTCTTTTTTTTTGGCGGAACCAGAGGTTGAACTCAGGTTCTTGCGCTTGCCAGGCAAGTGCTTATTCTACTGAGCCATCTCCCCAGCCCCTCTCTTTTTGAATCTCAAAATAAGGAATTTTGGGGGGAAAGGGGGAAAAAATAAGGAATTTAGCTGGGAAAGGTGATAGTGTTCATCCATAAGCGCAGCACTTGGAGACTGAGGCAGGAGGATCCCAGGGAGCTCAAGGCCAGCCTGAACTACACAGAGTGAGACTCTTGTCTTAAAAAAAAAAAAAAAAAAATTAAAGAACTTAAACTTTAGTAGACAACAGAAAAATACTAGAGATGGGAGATCATATAATTCTAGTAAGGTGTTGAGGGCAGACACTAGTAAACAAGAATTGGAAAAAAAAAAGTGATGGGTGGTAAAGTGAAGACATTTCAATTATTCCACAAGCCTTGTGAGACCAAACCTCTCCACTTCCTGAATAGCCAAAATTTAAAACAGATTTGTAACTACTACTGTAGTCGCCCCAAACAGAAGAAACCTTAGATAATATGACCCCATCGCTCCCCCTTTCTCCAGCTTCATTTCCCATCTTAACCTCTCCAGCGTTACTGGACTATCTTGAGTTCCTCTTTCATTCTATGAACTTGCGCCTCCGTGATTTAACATACTGTATGCTGTCTGCTCAATCTTCCGCCATCTAACAAAGCTCCTATCTTTCTGTAAAGCTGAGTTTAAATGTTACTGCTATGAAATAACACGGCTCTAACTTAGCAAAAAAAAAAAAAAAAAAGCCATGGAAAATGGCAAGAAATACCAGTCACTGAAATGACTTCTTAAAAGGCTGGCTTGTCCAGGGGTCACAAAAAAATAAATATCACGTAGAACTCCTGAATACAGCCCGAGTCATCTTACAAGTTCCCCGGATTGTTTAATGGCAGTACAGAAAAGAGAGGGGCGCTGCGTGTGCTGTTCACACATCAAATGCAAATCACTGCGTTGTCTTCGGCCCACTAGGTGCGTGGGAGGAAGGGGAGGAGGCGGCGAAAGAAATAAGCAAAAATTGTAGTGATGCCCAGGGAAAGGAATAAGATTTTATTTCCATAAAGAGATCTTTCTACGCAAGAAATAACGATCGCAGAACTTCGTCTCAGAGAAACAGCGCGCTCATTAGTTCACGCATTCATTCAATCTGTATGCACCAAGGAAGATACAGGAATGAATAATAGTTTCCGAAACTCATTCAGCGAATCTACTACCTTGTTAGGTGCAGTTAACTTTAATACTAAATTCAGAAGTCCAGAAGCGAGGAGCCCCGATTACCAAGTTTTCACAGCCAGGTTCACAGAACAGCAGCCCAGACGTCCCAGCTCTGCTCCGCCACATCCAGGCCTGCCGCTCGCAATTCTCAAGAGGTCGGACCCACTTCCCTATTTCCGTCACTCACCCTGCACTGACAGCGGAACCTGAGCTCGAGTTTCCTCCTTGCCCCGCCCCTCCCCGCCTTACGTCATCCAAGAGCGCCCGGGACGCGCGACAACGCGGTTAACGGCACTTCCTCGTCACGTGATGCCTACGCCCCTCCCTACGTGTGGACCCTCCCCCTGAGGCCGCGGTCGCAATTACGCTCCCTACGGCCTGCAGTCGGCGGGCAGCCGTGAACTGGAGAAATGCCGCTAACCGACACCGGAGCACCGCTAGGCCAAATGCGTGGGCCACGTCGGAACCCAGAACGCTTCAGCGCCGGAGACCAGACAGAGGAAACGAAACAGGCGGGAACTGGTGGGGGAGGGAGACAACGAACGGAAGGTGTCATGGCGGCCACGCTCTGGGGTCACGTGTCCTTCAAGCGCCGCCTTAGCACTTCCGGTCACGTGCCCTCAGAGACCTCGCAGCCAGCGATGGAGGCGAGACCCCCCAGTAACAGAGGCGGTGGCGACGGCTGCAGCCGCTGGGTTTCAACCTCTTTACAGCAGCGGCTGTAAGAAGCGCAGTGAAGCGCGACCAAATTCAACTAAGTTACTCCTTGCCGGAGGCTGAATCTTCCACCCGGTAAGTTTAAGGTAAAGAATGGGGGTGGGTGGGCGGTGAAGTGCTGACAGGCCCGGGGGTCGCGGGAGGGCGCGGATTTTGTCCCTTTTTCCCTCGTTGCTGTCGCAGCCTCCACAACGCCCAAGCTTGCCGTTTCGTTTGCCCTTATCTCGAAGCAGGAAAGAGGAGATCCGATTCCTGATCTACTTGCCTAAAGGAATCTTGTCCTTTCACTGAGATCAGTGACTCAAAGGTTAACCCAAAGCCATGTTTGGACTTGCCCGAGGAGAACGAAGGAAGTAATGGCCGTCCCCGTGCGTAGAGACCCGTCCCGTTAGGAAATGTGCTGTTCAGTCGTCTGGTTACTGTAAGAAGAGCTCTGGCCGTTGCTTCTACCTGTCAATCCTACCGCCCTTGAAAGCCGATTAATGCATGAGCCAGTCCACGCACTCCCAGTTTTAGTCCTGCCGAGTTTGTCATAGAGCATCAGTACGTGGACTGTGTAATTATTTTATATGACTTCTCTGTAGTTCTCAGAGCCTAAATTGAGCGAGAGGACATATCTGATTGACTTTTCAACACCTAATTTTACTGTCTGTAAAATAATGTTGGGAAGAGGAAATATATACTTAATTTTTGTCAAACTCAGGAAGGCTGAGACAGAATATAAATTCAAACTCAGCCTAGACAATTTAGTAACTTGGCACAAAGACCTTTGGTGAAAATTTTGAGAATGGGGGCTACCCTGGTGTGGAGCTCAGTGCACAGGCCCTGGATTCAATCCGCAGTACCAAAAGAAAACCTTAAAAAAAAAAAATTAGAAACCTAAAACTAAGTGGTTTGGGGCTGAGGATATAGCCAAGAAGTACAGTCCTTACTTAATATATCAAAGCCCTGTATTCCACCCCAGCACTGTGAAAACAAAAATAGGCTGGATAATTTGAAATATAACTTGCAGGCCGACCAGATAGTTCAGCAGATTAAAGTGCCTGCTTAGGCAAGCTTGTACCACATGCCTGACTGCATTTCTTTCTTTCTTTTTTTTTATTAACAGAGGGTCTTGCTTTGTAGTTCAGGCTGGCCTTGAACTAGCAGCGATCCTCCTGCCTTAGCCTCCCAAGTGCTAGAATTACAGGCATTCATCACTGTGTACACCTTGTCTCTTTCTAAACGTTTCAAAGAACCCAGATATGATGGTGCACATCTGTGATCCCAGAACTCAAGGGGCTGAGGCAGGAGGATTGCAAAGTCAAGCTCCATCTGGGTTTCAGTGAGACTCTTTCAAAATAAAAAAAGAAAAAAAATTTAATAACTCTGGAGCTTGAAGACTGTGGTTTCAATACCCAGTACTATGTGAAAGAAGGAAAAAAAAAAAGATTAAAGGGGTATAAGGCCAGTGTGGTAGCATACACCTGTATGATCCCAGCACTCAGTAGACTGATGTAGAGGGATTGCTGTGAGTTCGAGACTAGCCTGTGGAGGCTGTGCATTACCGTGCCTACCTTAAATTAATCCTTAAAAGGATCTGTAACTTAGTTAACTTTTAGCAATAAATGATACATGTGAGTCTGTCTTGATGTTATTAAATACACATTTCAGTGTACATGTAAAAGTAAAATTATACCAAATGCAGGGAAGTGCTCTTTGAAAATACTAAGAAAATTGGTGGAAGAGAAGATTCAGTTAAAAGTAGTGCAATATGATTGGTGAGATAGCTCTGCAGTTTAAGTGCTTGCTTGGGAAGCACAAGGACCCAGGTTTGATCCCCAGTACCACATGGCTGTGCCTGTCCCAGAACCTGGGGAGTGTGGTGCCAGCCATTGAAATTAGGTATGGTGGTGCACACCTGTAATCCCAGTGCTGGGGAGACCAAAACAGGAGGATCACAAGAGTCTCAACTGCGTAGCCAGACCCTCAATCAAATAGTACTGAAATAGGTGGTCCAACTGCATTTGTGAATGATTCAGGACTTCCCTTTCCTCTGCTAGTTTACCATTCCATTTTCCATTCCTCTACCATCAGAATATTGTCTGGTGTCCCTTGAGCTTTCCTAACAGTTTTGCCACCATTTCTACCTTACAGATAATGCTTTTAGACCTGCCTTTGTACTCTTACTCCTGTCTCCTCAAGCATTGATGTGTCGTATTGATTTAATGGTCCATTTTTTCTCCACTTTGATTACTGACTGATTTTTCTTCCCTTTTCTTGCCAGCACACCCTTGTTAGCAAGCAGTATTTATTATTAGTGGACATCAGCCCCTTTGACTGTGTCCTGCATCTGGCAGGTTTTCCTTTTGCCTTCCCTGCACTGCTATAAGATGAAAGAGTAAAAAAGTATTTGTAATTTTTTTAAAAAAGTATTTGACCTTAGGTTACCCTATGTGTTCTCCTTAATATCTTGCTTGCTTGTGCAACTGTTACTAAAACAGTACATTTTGGTTACTTTGTACACTCTGAGGTCCGGTTCCTGCAATGTTGCAATGTTGAAACATTCTTGTATTGCTTGGGGGCAAGCAGCATTCCAGAGTTCCATTTTTGTTTTGCAGATAAAAGGATAAAGGTGATGAGGTATTATCTCACTTGTTGCCTTTTTCTTTCTGCATTTATCTAGACTTTGGAAGGGGATTTGGTAATGGGAACATAGAAATGCAGTAAAAAATGAAAAAATAAATGCAGTAAAGATTTCTGTTCAGGGGCCGGGGAGATGGCTCAGTACAATAAGTGCTTCCCTGGCAAGTGCAAGGGCCTGAGTTCAATCCCCGGTTCCGCAAAAAAAAAAAAAGATTTCTATTCAGCTATTTCGAAGTATTTCTGTACCTATTTCCTTAAAGGGCATTAGCCAGAGATCTGTGTGAGAAATGGTACTCTCATCTGTGCTTTGAGAGATACAGTGCTTTCTGGAGTGTAACCAGAGAACACATAGGCAAGGGCTGCTGGTCATGCCTTGCCAGGTCAGAGTTCTCTTAACCATAGAAATCTTACAAAATGTCACTGATACTTGCTGAACTCTTCCTGTGGGCCAACTTTGCACTGCTGTGTGCTGTATTCTAGTGAATATAACACATGCAGCGTCTGCCCTTCCCTTATATAAGTTTGCGGTTTTTCAAGGATACATATTTAAAACTTACATAAGATAAATTACAGGGCCGGGGAGATAGTTTGGCAGTTTAAGCGCCTGCCTGGCAAGCAGAGGGACCAGGGTTCAATCCCCAGTACTGCATGCTTTGCCAGCCCCATGCGAACCACTGAAACCGGGTATG